GTCGCCGAATGTCATCATCCTTGGTGACAGTTTATCAAAGCGTAAATGTCGTTGAAGTTCAAGATGAGCTTTACAACAGAGTGTAGCTGTAAAGGTAGTGCGACGTTGCTAGTAGAATTCGTAAATTCTGAGGAACCTTTTTTCTTCATATTCACTATCTTAGTGGATTAAATCATTACTCCTACAGGAACACCTGTTTTTACGGCGTATTGTACTGCCGCTGTTCTCCTAGTTGGCAGGAGGGCATTGAAACAGATTATGGTTCCATGGTGTTTGAGCGTCTGCAGTGCCAGAAGCATCTCGCATCATTCTGTCCACTAGAGTCACCTCGCTCATCACTGTCAAGGTTTCTGGAGCTGGTACTTTTTATGTGCTACTGCATACAAATTTTGTTTCTACACTGGAGCATGTCAAATGACGCATGATTACTCCAGAACTATATCATAGTCAATTATATCATTTGGAAAAATGTCTTGAACTGTAGAGGAAACTTAGAATCGATAAACGGCGTTGCTGACAGTACTCAAATTTCTATCAGACTGAATATTCAGACGACGTCGATATTGCTGTTTCTTGTGATCATTATCTAGAAAAGGAAGGAGTCTGTAGTTGTTGCGATGCATTTAGTCTATGTTGCTAGACTTTCAGCTGCGAATGTCATGTTTTTTGACGGAAAGATCTCTTGTTAGTAGCCCTTTCTTCCCACATGTTGATACTCATTTATTTAACTCTGAAGGACAGGATGTAAGGGATCCAGTTGGCGCTTGAATCCACGACCTTTCGATTGAGCGTCCGATGCCCTGCTGACTTGGCTACCTTGACCCCCATCATCATTTGTACCTGACGGTCTGATTTCTGATTTTCTCATTATTCTAAGCTTTTCAATTTGCTTAAGGTAGCGACAGCAGTTGTAGTCTCATACAAGGCACAGTTCTATGAGCTCAAGGTTGCCTATATGGGTCTGGTGGGTTCATGTGCGTTCATCTGCGATTAGGGTCACAGATCGGTAACGTTCAGTTGATAGTATCGGGTTGACAATCGATAGGACAGTGGTTCGAATCTCAACCGCGACAATTTGTTTCACTCTTGCGAGGTAGACAAACGAGTACCCGCAATTTGGGAAGTTATCCGGCTTGTTATTTGTTGTTTATAATATTGAACCACCTGAAGAAGTATAACATTGCTGGTTTGTGATGTCTGTTGCATTTTCAGTTTTTTAACAATCATGTACGGCGTCGGTCTGGATCGTAGGCGGAAGTGCTTTGTAACCAAAGTATGCCTACATTTTGTTCCAGCTTCCCACGCGGCCCGTCTAGTCAACATCTAACCGTTTCGGTTTTAACCGGAGAAGCTCTTCGGCTGGAGTAAATGTCTAGCAGGGCTGGCTTCTTTCATCTGATTTCTGTGTCTGCTAAAGATAAATGTCCACAGCTGAGAACTGAGTTATTCTTTATATCGGGTTATCAATTAACCCTAATTCTGCGTCGATGCCAACGCCGTTGTGCGCGTTTCAACTCTCCTTTTTTGAATAAAGGAAGAAATTTCTCCTTTAGTTACAATTGGTTCATTAGCTAATCGTTGCAGAGTTAGTGGCGGGCTTTCGCGGTTATCGTTACAGCTTGTAGAATATTCACCGCTATAGCAGGGACACACGATCCCACATTTTTCACCTTGGCTGTTTTTTACAACTTCGACGTCATGTTGAGTTTATGAACTTTTATGAAGTTTTCAACCAGACCGGTTATCATTAATCTGGAAAATACTACAATTCAGGTTCTGCATATCTTTAGACCGCTGTGGCAGTAATAGTAACTTCAGCTGAAAGTAGCAAATTTATTTACTTATACCTATTTCAAGACGCCCTGCTTTATCCACCGCAACTGGCTCTTCATGATGCCCTTTTCCGGGATACATGCAAAAGATGATGCCCATCAACTAGGCACACATTTGCCTTGCAAAATGAAGTTGTCTTCTACCCCTTGATGTCAGTGCTTCATTAACCGACCATTTCTAAGTGTGTCTCTGACTTTTACGTTTTCATGAAAACATGAAGGTGCCAGTTTCGTGAAGTGTATTGTTTGAATTGAAGCGGTTGTCTTTTTCGATTTAAATGGTTTTATGTCTTCTACGCGTCATTATGTTAAAGCCTGCTTTTCAGTGCAATGACAACTGCCGCCGGGTTCATACTGTTTCGTATGATCAACGGCAGAATTCATTACCTTCTTCTGCGAGCGTCGTACGGCACCCACCACTGGACTCCTCCTAAAGGTATTTATTTGGCTAACAAGCGACAATGTATATAATAAATTCTTTGAACTTTTTTTTCTCGAGTTTATCCGTTGGAAAAGACGGACTTAAACCTGTCACTTGAAATTGCACTTATGCAGTCTGTCTACTCGTTAACATCGCGGACGCAGTGAAATGCCCACTGACGGTTTTTGCGCCCAAACTGTAAGTAGGAAATGTAAAACAATAATTGCAAGGAGCCGCTAACGAAAGGAATATCGAAATCAAACAATCAAAGTATTAAGAGTACAAATTGTTTACAAATATCTCTATGGTTTGAGGCATGTTCTTTTACCACTCTACTTCTTGGTTCATGGGTTGGTCAATGGAGACTACTACAGTTGTGTTCTGATGAACGATCGATGCGCCGTCGATGGAAACATTTTTCTGCTAAGAAACAGAATTATTTACTTTTTCGGATCGCTAGTCAGAATATCGTATAGGAGGTCATCTTCAAACGTTATTTCTTTTTGTAGTCACTTTAGAGAACAGGCCTTTCGTCCAGTCGATCTGTTTTCCTCTTTTCTTGCACTTTATTATGCACTTAATACTCAACCTAGATTGCTGAGTGTTTTGACCGCTTCTAATTACCTAAAGAACTGTTTAAATAGGTCACGGTTTCATGATATTTGCAGATTTGTAGTACCATATGCATCTTGCGCTATTTTATTGCTAGCGTATTACTTCGTTCATCACCAGCGACATTTCAAGAACCAGTGCGGCTTTGTGGACTATCAGAGAACATCGTAATTATGGGTTCATACACCGAACATTTTTAGTAGCTGCTAAACCGGTAGGTACTATGATATTATATTGACGTGGTCCTGTCGAAATGTATGAAAGAGCAGCATATGCCGTTAAAATGGGGCTATTTCAGTGGTTCTATACTAACTGCTCAGTTTGAGAGTGAGACGTACTTTCAATTTTGTTGTGCAATGTCGTGCTTGTCGTTCTCATGAAAACAGTAGTGATTTGAACAATAGCTGGTTTTATTCTAGAAAGGAGGAGTTAAACGTTTCGAACTAACTCATGCTTTCTTTCAAAACCTAGATTCCATTGATGAGTAATGCAGTTACGGGAATGAAGTTTCCTTGCCTGACACATAAAGATGCAACAGTGCTTCGAAGTCAGGTCACTTTTGACGTAGAAGTCAAAGGTAACGAAATATCTATCTATATTGCGACGAAAGGTTGATATGAATAAGGAAAAGATGTCAGTATGGTTATTGGTGCGTCCATATGCAGCGATGCTACGCGCCATTCAGAGTTAAATATAAAGAATGTCCTTGTTTCAAACGCTTTTGTTTGTCTGTTCAGTATTTGGGTTAGTAAATGATATCTTCCGTAACCCGTCCTTGTCTTGCATCGATTAGCCGCACCGTCTTATTGTTTCTTGTAGCCTAGCTGGCCATTTAAACAGGCCACAGTTCCATGGTATTCTAGCATCTGCAGTGTATGGGCGCAGAATCGCGCCATTTATGTAGTGTTTACTGCCATTATTCGACCTGTTGAGGAACGAGATTTATCGGTCGAAATATTGTCAATTAATTTTTGGAACATCGTCATGACCAACTTTAAGAAGTTTAAATGCTTATTGACATCCACGATGGAAGAATTTCTTAAGGAATAATGCCGTTCTGTGCTCAACACCGGTGTATCCCATGGTATCTGAGAATATTAAAACAACGGTTAACCTTATTTGACAAATTGATTTAGAATATTCCATTCATTTGATCTCTTAACCCTCATGTCAAAACCAGAATATCGCCTCTTCGTCTAGGCCGGCAGCGTGTAACGTAGATAAGCATGACAGAAATAGTTTTACCAGTGCTGTTGATTAGACGACGTAGTAACCATTGCCTTATCACAAACTTGAAACACGCATGATTTCCAGTACGCCTGCAAGTGGTGCAGTGTGTTTATGACTACAAGCAGCAGTGTCTGACGACTGAATTCCAAATTTTCGCTAAATGTCATCCGTCAAAATATTTTAGACTGATGAGTCGATGCCCTTGGTGTGAAAATTTTGTTAGTAACGTGGTGACACAGCGCCTAAGAGGTCGGCTTTAAACTCCGAAGGTGCCGGGTTTTAACCCACTCAAGGAACTATCTTTGTCTTCATCTCGAACTCCCTTGAGCAAGGAATTAACTCCACGTTACTTCGACGCTGCGAAGTAAGGAACGGGTAGTTAGTCGGTGACTTGCGAACAATAGGAACAGCGCGGTACAATGGTATTGGGTCAAACCAGAAGGAGGAGAAACGAGATGCACAGCCATGCTTCCGATACGAGGGCCCCTTGTAGCTGCTCTTCGCTCTGACCCATGTGACAGCTGACAATCCAGTGTAACACAAGTTATCACCGTAATTTCATTTTCTTTAGTTGAAAGCTACCATGTCGCCAGAATGTGGCTTTTTTATCATCCTTATACCGCTATTAATTTTAGTATTTCAGAGTAATTCAAGGCAACATTTAAGGATAGTGCACTAAAGAGTATTCATATATTAAATTCGCATATAGAGTACCCGTATTTTGGGAGGTTTCGGACCTGTTTTTGACTAAGGCATGCTTGCTGCGTGTAATTGTTACACAATATGCCAGAAGTCGGCGATGTCGCTATCAAACTTTTTGCCAAAAATTTTGAGAAATTTCATATTTAGATTGCGAACCGTAATTTTGGAATCTCCTAAAACGTATGAAGTATTGTAAGATTCATGTTCTCAGTTTATCTTAATGAATATTTGGATATTATGCGTCATTCTATCGATTCTGTCATCGTCATCTCTCAATAAGCTGATCAAAAGTTGCAAAATTGCCATCGTTAATTTATGAACTAATTGAAAATGGGTTTGAAATTATCCTAATGATTTCGCTACGGCGACATAAGCAATGTTCTTCGTTCCTAATAGACCCGCATCTGATTAACGTACTCAGAGTATATGTTGAACACCCCTAACGTACTTACAAGCCAACGATTTGCGCTCAATAAACTCATTAAGCTTTCGCTTTTGTCGCTATTGCTGTGATTAATAAAGTTAGTTCTGAAAGTTTGCTGCTGATTAATTTAGTCAACATTGTTTCCTCAGGCCACGTGAATAAAGGAGAGTCATTGCGAGACGCAGCGGTGCGGGAAACATTCGAAGAAACCGGTTATTCGCCTGATGACTACGAAGAAGTGCCCGGTTTTAAACGAACGTTGGAGTACATGGCGAATGGTCATCAGAAGACAGTCGTTTATTGGCTAGCGAAATTAAAGAATGAAGAGAAAAAACTTTCTCTGTCAGAAGAGCATCAGCAGTTTCGATGGCTACCGCTGGAAGAGGCAATTCGAATTACGTACCCAAGTATGCAGGATGCGCTTGCCGACTCGGAAAATTTCTTAAATCCATCATAGTCAGTTGAACCCGTCAAATTATGTTTCTCATGTCATCACAAGATGCTTTAGTTAAACAATACATCGCAGTAATCAGCGGCGACCGACCATTTCATAACTTCGAAAGTACAAATTTTGAATTTTGCTGTCATGTGTTATATGCATTATTCTTTGTCTGATCAAGTTTCGGCTTTTGAAAAAATTTACGAAGTAAAGCTCTAATCGATATTATCCTCTGTTTAATTACCTTTTGCATTCTTCTTAGACGGGATTTTCTTGCACTTGAATGCAGGGCCCCTCTTTGTTTATATGCGCATGTTTTTCAGATCAGACAAGCAGGTTCAGATGAATATTTTTGTCCGAATTTCTCTACGTTTGCTGGGAACGGCGCATGGCTGATGTCGTTGTGCTGCAGATTTTAGGACTTGTCACGTGAGTATATTCAGCGCTTTTATCATCTTATCGCACCTAACAAACAGAATATCTGTGGCAAAGTGAAACAGCAAATTTTTTTATTTGCCCTGCTGACGTTCCAGATGTGGTTGCTTAACGCTATTCGATGTCATGCAAGGCGGTGATTGGCAGCAGATAGTTTCAGTCGCTTGGCGGCGGGAATGCTAAGGATGAGCATGTAAGCGTCAAGGTGAAATGCCGAACGAGAGGTAAACGTATTCTTTGCATTCTACAGCGTTATTAGTAGTGAGTTCGCTGTACTACAACAATTCAAAACGAAGAAAATCGAGAATGGCGTTGTTCCCAACCGTTTTTCCGTTACTTTGCTCATGTAAGCAACTTCGTGCTGTTCTAAGTGTGACGAATAAAAGGCTGCGATGATGCCAAGTATTTGCCCTTAATTGATTGAAATTTTTGAAACCGTTCATAGTTCAGTATTTGATTAGTGATACGCTGGTTTTTTCTCCATCTGTCGCTTGACGCATGAATATATTGATAAGATTGGCTTTATCGTTAATGAACTTTTTATTGCTACATAATACATACCATTGTCAGATAACTGGTTCGTTTACTGGGTTTGTTAGTCTCTTACTGAACTTCTTCAGAGTAGTACTTCATTGTCATACTCACCGGATAAGGAAGTCTGTATGGATGGGAGTCTTGTAACTGAGTGAAACTGTCGCGTTGAGTCATGCCAAGTAAATTGTCGTTTATTCGCTAAAAACAGTGTGTCACGTTCTTCCGGGCGCTTTTGAGTAGGTACTTTAGTCAGATAGCACTCGTTGTTGCTTCTCTCGGTGATATTCAGCGGTGTTCAGTTTGAGGTAAAATCCTTGCACACCAGTTCATAACGCCGCACATCTAGTGCAAGCGCGCACGGTCATTGTCATCACCCATGCTTTTTACAGCTACATTCAATCGAGATGAAGTGACGACAACTCGTAGTTGAATGATGGACAAATAATACCTCTTTATTTTGGCCACGACTCTATGAGACATTTGTGCAAGAGTTCCTTGGAGGCCGTTTTAAAAAACAAAGACCTCTAATATTCTGACTGCAATAACTTTTCAGTCTCTCCTGTTGAATTGAGGTCCTGGAAGCAGTATAGAAACTCTTCCTGGTAGGTTGAGACAGGGATGTTGCCTACGGTTATCAGTGATACATACCCATGACTAAAACTTAAATATGCTTCTCTTCTCTGAATTCGCTGGGTTGGATGAAGGTTAGGAAGACATTGGCAGTTGTTTATGATAGCTGGCACCCTAAATGGACTGCCGAACATCCACTCGCCGAAAGGATTAATAAGATGCTAAGCAGGGTAAGATAAGACCGACCTATTAAAGATGAGAGCATTGCTAAAATCTTCCACCTATTTGCGTTTCTGATCAAAATTTGTCCTCAGGAATTCCTATATGCTTCCCGCAAAGCCAACAAGGCATGAATGTTGGTAACTTCGATGCTTGCTCCCTAACTGGAAATTGACGATCTGAAGCGTACAACCGTGGCGCTACCAATTGGATATAGCTGAAATTTTTTCGTCACACCATCGCAGTTCCAAGTTCTTCGCCTCGAAAACGGACTGAAGCATTTCTCCTCTAGATCTGATCTTACCCTATTGCCATATGCTGATTTGGTGTGCTGGTGGGCTCGGCTTATCAAGTGTGCTGTTGAATGCATCTCCCTGTAAAACGCTTGCATGCTGAAACTCGAAGTTTGAGAATAAACTCACGTTCAGATCCTGCAGATATATGCTTCAAAGGTACGGTCATGGTAAGAATCTTTCGTTGAGAAAGTCGATGCCTCCCTGAGAAAGTAGTTTACGCGAAATGCGTTCTTCTGACAAGGATCAACGTGCATGTTGGAATTGACAACAAGCGATATAATGGCGTGATCGGGAAGCGCGCCGACATTAATGTGAATCCGAATGGTTTCAAGTTACGGAATTGCTACAGCCCAAACTTCCTGTCTGTAATGAACACCTGCATCACCGTAATAAGCACCACGATAATCATAGCTGTATCTGGTAATACTGCTTCGGACTCATTTTGCTAGGGCCGACCGGCAGCTAGAAAGTTACTCCTTGCTAAAACCGGAAGGAGGCTTACCACGCCATCAGAGCACATAAGAAAATTTGCTGGGCATGGTTTTCGAACAAGTCATCCTTTTCCTTGCGTATTACACCGAAGCTGCAAGCTGCACAACGAGCAGTGAAGACAGCTAAGGGAAGGTAAGAGAATCATTGCTATGGGAATGGAATCATTCGAAGAGTTACTGATTTCTAGCTACCCCCCTGAGAAACGTATTCTAGCGGATTATTCGCCTTCTGCGCAAGGAAAGATCGGGTACCATCTGAATTGTGAAATATTCAGATAGTAACCTTACAGACTCTCAGGTAGGCATTCTCTGGGACGGTAGCACAGTGACAAAGAGGTTGACTTCGAACTCCAGAGATGCCAGCGTCGAAACCAAAGAAAGGACGGTCTTTTTTAGCCGTGAATTTTGCACGAATAGCAAGGAAATTATCTCACTTTGTCCCAGTGCAATCAGCCGACAAACGAGTAGCAATACACTTAATTGCGAACAATAGTGGTAATATAGTTCCTGGTATAGTCACAACAAAATGGTCGAGAGGTGCGGGTTATGCTTTCTACTGCGGACACCTCATAAAGTTGCAGTTCACTTTGACGCATCTAATAGGGGTTTATTCAATGCGATAACCAACTAAGGTTTAATCCTTGCTGTTGTTAAAGAAGGCGGCTATAATTTAATACAGTTTCAACAGATCATAGCAGTACTCGCTATAAATACATTTTCAGATGGAAATTGATGTCTAGACGATAACACAGATTAAATCGCTGAAAAGTGCAAAGCTGTTGGTAAAAAAAAATCTGACCAGAAATGTTAAAGCCTGAATTTCAGATGTTTCTTCTAGGCTCGAAGGAAAGTGCGGAAGCGGTGGTAGTGAAGAGTGATTATCCCTGTATTCAGAAAAGGTAATCAGACAGAATGCCGCAGATTGACCCACCTCTCTGCTCACCCAAGCGGTTGTAACTGCAGGTTACCGTGACCTTTTTGGAAGTGAAATACCGGAGGGATTACAGCAAAATGTTCAGAACGAACAATATGACTGTTTACAGGTAATATCGTCTTGCTCAGTTCCACAAATTCTGATCACTAGTGCACACTTGACACTTAATCTGTTTGTTGCCGCATCCACCAGGCCGGCAAGAAAGAGGTCAGTAAAAATGAGTCTTATATTCTCGAGAAAAGGTCATTACTACTCTCTCCAGCTCCAGTAGGTACATAAGTTTAAGTATCTCAGAGTAGCATTCAAAGGTACGGTAAGTAGAGCACAGGAATACGCATACGGATTGGTCAGACGATGACTTTAATGCAGGAACTAAACCGGCCTGTATTGATAAAGAAGGACTTGATCAGAAGTTCGAAGCTGGCTGCCTTCAAGTTATTCTACACCCCTATCCTCACCTGCTTGACTGATTGTCTCGCTTTTAAATTCAGCTAAAGGAGCTTCACCGATTGAGAAAGGTCCGGAATCACAGCAAAGCCCTGCTGAATCAGCGTCTACATTGACCTACGATGAATAATTGCCGGAAAAATGAATGAGTGAATGATTTTGAATTGTCGAAACAGGAAAACCACATCAGTGTATAAGAAATTTCCGCACGAATTATAGAATTATTCCGAGACTGACTGCATATAAATTAACATCCTTTGTGAAGTTTGTACTTTGTATAATTACGTCAGCATACGCGAATTTTGGGTTTTCAGGCTGCCCAGAGTTACTTTGACTTGTAAATATCTATCATGAACCAATGCATCAACTGAAAAGAGTGGCAGCAAAGCTAATCCTGGGCTAGATGTCTGTGTTGTGTGTAATGGAAAGGACTGTTATTCAGATACTGCAAGTAATCTGCTTCAGTCTTTCAGCTCGACAGAATTTTTAAAAACAGTTAATCTATGACATTCATTCTGCTGTCACCGGGTAACTTATCAGACCAGTGTGATGCCTTATAGCTACTTAAAATTGAGGACTTACGCTCTGAATACCGAGAACTGCATGTATGGGCAGATTTGGCGTTACTTCTGTGAATCTGCCACAGACCATGGTTTTATTAGTCGTTTTTTGACTGACTAAGCCTCATCGCAACAGAAACATTTAATTGATTCTTCTTGATTAACCGGGATCACCACTGCCTAGTATCGATGCCTACGCTCGTTTGTCTCATGTTCACCACAAGTATCAGTATCCCTTTTTTAGCTCATTGACGCATCTGAGCTGAGATCTTCCAGCTGGACGCTTGTAACCCCTTGGATATCGATCCCTATCGGCTTTAGCCCGTCAGTCATCTTTGAATCGTGAGATGTGACTTTCCCATTGACGCAATTTTTCTCGTGAAACTGATACAACTTCCTTCATTCCCGTGCCTCTTCTTACTTCATCATTCCGCAGCTTGTCTCTTCTTTCCGTAGCCTGCTGCTGCACTCTTAGCAGTTTTTCTTCATTTTTTTCGTTAATGCCCAGGTTTCGCAACCATATCGAGCTATT